AAGCGAACAAGAAATTGCCAACCTATCAGAGGCAGAGTTCAAAACACTGGTGATCAGAATGCTCACAGAACCGGTTGATTTTAGTCACAAATTAGAGGAACATATGGAGGCTAAACTAATTGAAATGAAGGGAAATGCACAGGAAACCAATAGTAATGGAAAGGAAACTGGGACTCAAATCAAAGGAGTAGACCAGAAGGAGGAAAAAAATGACCAAACAGAAAAGGATGAAGAAACAAGAATTCAACAAAATGAGGAGAGGCTTAGGAACCTCCAGGACATCTTTAAACGTTCCAACATCTGAATTATAGGGGTATCAGAAAGGGAAGAGGAACAGCCACGAGTGGAAAACTTATTTGAACAAATAATAAAGGAGAACATCCCCAATCTGGCAAAGGAAATAGAATTCCAGGAAGTCCAGGAACCTCAGAGTCCCAAAGAAGTTGGACCCAAGAAGGAACACACCAAGGCACATCATCATTACATTAGCCAAAATTAAAATGAAGGAGAAAACCCTAGAAGCAGCAAGAGATAAGGGGACTGTCACCTACAAAGGAGTTCCCATCACACTGTCAGTGGATTTCTCAAAAGAGACCTTACAGGCAAGAAGGAGCTAGAAAGAAGTATTCCAAGTCATGAAATCCAAAAACCTACATCCAAGATTGCTCTATCCAGCAAAGCTTTCATTTAGAATGGAAGGGCAGATAAAGTGCTTTTCAGATAAGATCAAATTCAAGGAATTCAACATCACCAAGCCCTTATCATATGAAATGTTAGAGAGACTTACCTAAGAAAAAGAAGATAAAAAAGATGAACAGTGAAAGCACAGGAAACTCACAGTTATTAAGAACCACACCTAAAACAAAAGCAAACTAAGAGGACAGCTAGCTCAGCAGCAGAACCACAGAAATCACATGGAGGGTTAGCAACAGGGGAGTGGGAGAAGGAGAAGTGGGGAGAAGGTACAGAATATAAGTAGCATAGACAGTAGGTAGAAAATAGAGGAGAGGGCAAGAATAGTAGGGGAAATATAGAATCTAAAGAACTTGAAACACGTGGTCATAAACTAAAGGGGGGAATGGTGGGGGAGGGGGTGTGCAAGGGTGGAGAGGAATGAAGGGGGGAATAGAACAACTGTAATGGCATAATCAATAAAATATTTTTAAAAAATAAGAAAAAAAGAGAAAAAAGTTCTCATCAGGAAAAAAATTGTAAACGTGAGGTGATGGAGTTTAAACTTAATGTAGTAATTTCACAATATATACTTATATTAAATCATCATGTTGTACACCATAAAAACAAGAAAAATGCCCAACTTTTATGGAAGGGAAATCCTAATAAGATAGGATTCTCTTTTTATATAACAACCCAATTAAAAATATATACTGTTGTGAACCCTGACAAAAAAAAAAAACATCTGCTAAGATGGACTCCTGCTGACTAACTGGGCTCAAATTTCAAAGAACAGAGCCAGCAACCATCTCTACTGAGGCCTCTCATGTAAAATGCACTTCAGGGAGAAGCCTGCACTGAACTACCCACTTCTGCACTTGACTGCCTGTGTGAGCTGTGTTATTGCCATCTGAGCAAGCCCTTATAAAGGAGTTCCTGGAATTATTTTTTAGCCAATAGAATTGAGATGGCCCCCATCCAATAGGAGCTGCAACACTCCAACCAACTAGACTGGCTCTATTCTGATCAATCAGGACACTGCCTTTGGATGAATCTCACTGTGAGGATTTGGTGTCCTCATCTGCATTACAATAGAGCAATCAGGGACGAGGAGCAGGGACTTCTGTCTTTACAAGCCAGCTCCCCTCTGGCTTGGAGAGCACACTTTCTCTTTCCACTGGAGATTGAAAAATACATCTCCCTGGCTGAGCTGAAATACCAAAGATGTCTCACAAGAGCAGAGTGGAGTGGACCAGCACAGGCCAGAGCAGGCTGACATAGGATGGAGCAGACCAGAGCAGAGTGGAGTAGCACAGAGCAGAGCTGAGCAGAGCTCTCTAGCCAGAAAGGGGCCTGGCCCCTGGGTTTCCTCACAGCTGTGCTGTATCACAATTGAGCTCTTTTGCACTGAATTAAGTTTCCTTCTTCTCTACTTGGCATTAAAGTAGCACCAATGACCATTGGTTGACACTGTTATGTATACCAAATCTAATAGCCTCTTCTACATCTATTTTATTTTTACAGGGTTGGACACCCTCACTTTGAAATTCATTCCTGCTCTTGATGTAAATATACCCGGAAGAGATAGAATAAAAGTTGCAGTTCAGATCTTGCAACTGGTTTGTGAAATTAGTTTGGTCAATGACATTTTTAGAAGTCTTTTTACAAAAATTGTTATGAAGGCATATGTTCTTTTGAGCATTATAGATTTGCTTTTAATATTTAGCTTTACAGACCATTTTGAGTGAGTTCATTTTGTAATATGATGTAAGCTCAGTTACTTTCTCTATACAGTGTGTCAATTTTATGAATATAACAAATGTTCTATCCTTTATCATTGAATAAAAAATTAAATTGACATTAGAGCAGGAGAGAGAGAAACATCAATTTGTTGTTCCACTTATTTATGCATTCATTGGTTGATTCTTGTGTATGCCCTGACCTGGAATCAAACCTGCAACCTTGAAGTAACAGGACCATGCTCTAACCACCTGAACTACTGTGACAGGGCTATCATTTATGCTTTTCTTTTTCTGTTTAGTTGTATTTTTTCCATTATAATTTATCACCCTTATACTCTTTTCCACCTCTACCACACCCTGCAATCACCATCGATTTTTTTATGCCAGCTCAACTAGAGACCAAATTCTCATATATAAAAGGACTTGTGTAATACATTCTATTTAATTGGTCTCTTTGTGTTAATGTTATACTCTTAATTAACATACCTTTGTAATGCCTTAATACAACAATTTTTTCCAAATTTTCTTTAGTTATTTGTGAATTGTTGACCTTTAATTCATATTTTTAGAATCATTTTTTCAAATTCCACAGTAATATCTTGCTAGAATTTTTACTGGGAATATTAGTTTCTACATTTACATTAATTTGGGGAGAACTGACACAGAATGGCATTTTGTTTCACTTAGTTTGGTCTTCTTTAAAGTTTTTAAATAAAGCTTTAAAGGCTATATATATGTATATATATATTTATATCTATATGCATACATACTGTGTTAGGGGATGGGTAAAATTCTATAAAGAATAACAAAATAGACTAAGATGATGGAGAGTGACTAGAGATCACAAGAGGATGGGATTAGTCTGTGATGGTCTCTTTAACAAGGGTAACTGAGCAGAGAGCTGGATTACATGGAAGAATGAGTCCTATGGAAGACCCATGGTCACAACATTAAAGGTCAAGTGAAATGGCAAGGGCAAACATCTTGAGGTTGTGGTGGCTCCAAGTAAAAAAAAAAGATGGCCATGGTCACTGGGCAAGGAGAGGGATAGGAGGTGAGGTTGGGAAGTCAGAAGCAGTTGCAGACCTTGAGAGCAGGATAAGGCTTCATGTTTGATAGTTATGGAAAGCCTTTGAAAGTAAACTAAATTTATTAACTTTTGTAGTGGTTACCCTAGAATTTGCAATGTACATTTGCAATACTGGGATCAACATGTTTGTACATGCCCTCATGTAGATTTGTGTGCCTTTATTTGAAGGTCTATATCTCAGCATGAAATTTCTGAGTGACAGGGTGACAAGTCAGATTGCTAACCAGCAGTGCATAACAGATCCCATCTCTCTACTTGAACATTCGATATCATCAAATTTCTATTTTTTTTGCCAGTCTGTTACACAAAAATTGGTATCCTTTTAATTTGCATTTCTTTGGTTACTAGTGAGCAAATGTTTTCTTTAGCTATTTAGATCCATCTCCTGCTCACTCACTATGTCACTTTCCCTTAGTGGATTACAAATTCCCTGTTAACTGCTTAGTTTTCTCTGATTTTACTTGCTTTATTTTTACATATATCCTAGATGGTACTGACTTTAGAAACTATGTTAGAAATATATAGGATTTTTTTTTATCTTCTAATATAGGGCCAAACATATACATATTGATTACATGCTACTTTATTGTAAAATCTTTAATTTATAAGTTAATGCTTTAGGTTATTTAAAAAATGTGTGTAAAGCTATTAATTTCATCTCAAAAGTAAAAATGGCAGTATAAAATATTTTTTTAAAAATGCTGTAGGTGGAGGGGAGAATATTGAATTTCACATGGTTAGCTTTTGACATTTCTAAATATTCTTTTCTCAACCCATCACCCATTGGTTAACCTCACCTATATTATACATTTTAAATTTTATTTTAAAATACATTTTATTGATTATGCTATTACAGTTGTCCCATTTTTTTCTCCCCTTTATTCCCCTCTGCTCTTGGCTGGCTTTCAGTCACTTCCTCTGCTACCCACAAGCAAACTGGGCCCTTCTGGTGCTGATTCCTGGGTGTGTGGGGTGGGGGGGTTTGTGTACATTTAAGGACCCTGTGGGTCTCTCCAAAAAACTCTCCTGTGAGGCTGGGAGTTTCTCTTGCTGCCTCATTCCCCACAGGTCTTTTCAGTCAGAGGTTTTGAGGCTTTATTGAGGCTATCACAAGATCCTGGTCTTGTGATCAAGATTCTCCCAATTACAATAGTTTTTAAGAATATGAACTAATTAGGCTGGCAAAGGATGAGAGTATTCACATTTAAAAAGAATGTGGTTTTCAGAGCCCTGGCTGGTGTAACTCAGAGGATTGAGCACAGGCCTGTGAACCAGAGGATCGTGGTTTGATTCCCAGTCAGGGCACATGTCTGGGTTTCAGGCCGGTTCCCTGCAGGCCAGTTCCCATCAGGGGATGCACAAAAGGCAACCATACACTGATGTTTCTCTCTCTCTCTCTCCTTCCCCTCTAAAGATAAATAAAATCTTTTAAAAAAACAACAAGAAAACAATGTGGTTTTCAAATAACACATATAAAATGAAACACAGCTCAGTAATTTTTGCATCTTTGTAAATACTTTATTCTGTTTCTAGGTCCAATGTTGAAATTTACATGTTATTTTAAAGACATCTAAGATACAGCTCACTGAAATGAAAAGTACAAGAAGTTTATGTGATATAAAATACACATGAGAAAACCTTAAATGTTAACTTAATTTGCTCTTCTAGGGACATCAGGATTTATAGAATTGATACTGGCCTTTATATCAATTACTTGTTTCTATAAGTTATTGTGGATCCTTCCAGAGAGCATATTGTGCTATTATGTCTGAGAAATTAGTGAATAACTAGGTTTTCCACTGTATCATAGTACAAAGCATTACTTCATTCGTAGGCCTCACAGGATCCTGTATGTGTTTTCGTAAAAGTGTACTTTCTTTTTTACTAAGTCTGTTAATGAAATCTTGTTAAGAAGTTATTGAATCAGAAAGCAATACAAGGCACCTTTGTATTACAAAGGAAATTAGTGAAGACTTAAGAAGATAAACATCTGATACTTAAAAAACCCCCTCAAATTCTGACATTTGGAGCAATATTTCCACATGATGTTTTCCTAAAAAAGACCTTTTCCAGCTTGTTTCCAGACTTCTTTTACTCCTCTGATGCTTTCTTTTTTCACACATTTCCAGTATTCTTGAACACTTTGTTGTTGTGGTACCTGTTAACCAAAAGTAAAACTTAAGGGGCTATTTTATTGAAGGCTAAACATGATTTCACGTGTGCATTGTTACTGTTTATTTCTCATACTCCTCCAAAACATATTTGAGGTGAATTATGTTGTAAAAGGTGATTGCAACAGAACTGCACAATAAGAATAAAAGATAAAAGTGAATGTGATGTAAATATCCACAGGGTAACCAAGGAATGGATACATGATTGGAGATTCCTCCCTCATAAGAATAGGAAAATTTTGGTTGATCTTTTACATATTGGCTTTAAATTATAATTATTTAATAATTTTTCCTTTTATAATATGTGTGGAATAAAAAGAAGCCTAAAGTTTGATTTAACCTTAGATAAAATTAAAAAGAAACTACAGGTCACAGTATATTTGATGAGAAAATTTAAGAATATAATTCATTTAAGTGCTGAGTTAAAAAGTACTCTGTGGTTATTATTTCTCTCAACTAATCAAGAAAGTGGAAGTTCAACAAAACTGTGACTCTGGTGAGCTCAGGGGCACAGCACTACTAGAAACCTGCCACACTGAAGCAGAGTCTACTTCAGATTGCGTATATGTCCAATTCCCACTGCTGATTTTCAGCTCTTCTCTTTAACACTTTCTGAGAAATGGTAGAGACTCTAGGTATATTAAACTGTTAACTGCAAAGGTTGGTTTAATTTCCAATAATATGATTATCAACCACGAGGTATTGGATGACCACAAAGCTTGTAAGACATGTTTGTTAGTGGAAATCATATCTGTTCATTTTCAGTAAGTAATGTTTGTGGCAGGACGTGAATGTGCTTCTCTAAGTTAGAAATAGATTTATTTTTGTAAACCCACCATATTTTCTCTCTCTCATCCTCTGTTCTAACCTAACTGCCTACTTAGTATGTGGCCCTGTCCGGACCCAGGTTTCCAATCTGCACACTACTTTTCTGAGAGGGGTTCTAGCAGATTCTCATCTAAAATAAATTTTCAGTTTGATCTCTCCCAGTTATAGGCCAATATGTAAATTTGAGTGAATAATGGTAATAGCTAACACCAATTGCAAGTGTTTCAGCCACTATACTAAGTATTTTACACTTAATTCTCATAATAACTCTTTCTGGTAGATCCTGTTAGTTAGTTTCCTCATTGTACAGATGAGAAATCTGAGGCTCAGAAAAATTAAGTGGCTTTGTAAGTTTTGGTAGTTAACAGGTGAGAGAGCTGGGATTTCAAACTAGGTGTGTTTGCCCTGACTGGTAAGGCTTGTGGTTGGATGATGTCCCACAGAGCAAAAAGTCACTGGTTTGATCCCCAGTTGAGGCGCGTACAAGAAGCAACCATTAATGTTTCTCACACTGATTTTTCCCTCCCTCTCCTTCTCTTTCCTCTAAAAATAAAGAAATAAAATCTTAAAAAAAGAAACTAGGTGTGTCTAACTGCAAAGCCCAAAGTAAATTCTAGGCTATGATTTCTGAGTAATGGTTTCTGATTAGATTCGTATTTTTAAAAAATGCAAAGAAAAATGTTAGATCACATCTGCATGGCTATCTCCTTATAAATTATGAAAACTCTACTTAAGATGACACATTTCCTCCAATTCTAGGTTTAATACTATTTAATTATATGTAAACATGTTATTTAAACACTCAAAGTCTGTTACCCATAAACCTCGATGCATCCTGTTTTTTAACACTCCAAGGAACTCTCCATGACTAAGACATTCATCGCCATCCAAATCAAAGATCTTGAAGACAGTGTCCAAAATGTTGTTTGAGAGCTCCTGTCCTGTAGCTACTTTCACAGCTCTCTTAAACTCTGCTAAAAAAGAAAACATAAACCAACTCATCCACCATGTGAAACAGTCTAAGTAAAATTAATGTAATTTTTCTTAATTTGAGAATTAAAAATAAATCTAACTACTAACTATATGGGCAGTAAAACAAAAACAAAAAAATATAAAAACATATTCATATATAAATTTGGCTGACAAGTGCCATGAAAGTACCGTGCATAATGTGCTCCTGTGTCAAACGCAAACCCACATTTTTGTGCGCATTATACACAGGCTCATTATACCCATGAATAATGTGTATCTTTATTTTTCCTTCAAAAGTTTGGGCAAAAAAGTGCACATTACACATGGTAAAATATGGTAACTGCAAGTGGCTATTTTAATTTAACCAATGTTTCAAACACAAGTATTTAAACATTTCCTTCTCCCTCTCAGGAAAAAGAAAGTAAAAGTAAGCAGAGTAATTGTGAAATATAAGTATTGTGCTGTAAATCTGGAATAACCTCGATGAATTAAGTAAAGGCCAGCCCATTGTTTTTACTGCTAATTGGCACCTTGGTTGGTATCATCTAGTTTAAGAGATAATAAAAATTAAATGATGCACCAAACTTACCTAGTCTGACAGGGCGATGAGCTAAATTAAACATCTGCATGGCAATAGCAAAGTCTTCCAAGTGGGTTGTAAAATGACAAAATGACTTGAACTCATCCAGACTAATACTCTAATAAAACAAAAGAGAGTTTTTATTACAATTTTGTAGTTACATTAAATAATCTTGCAAAATAAGTGTGAGTCTTCTTTTCTATCAGAAAGCTTAGGAATTCCTATCTTTCCAAGCAAGTGTATTAAAAAGTTTGAGATGCAGAATAACAAAATTATAGATTTCACAGATTAGGATGAACCCTAAGAGATAATAAAAATTTTTTTTATTACCAGGGCACTGGGTGTGATTGCAGACTGTACACAGTGTGAAAGGAATTGTGCAGTGCGAGACTTGGGATTGTCCTGATTCTGTCTCTTCAATATTCATGTGTTGAATAACCCCCGATGTGACTAGATTTTGAGATGGGAGGTCTAATTTGATAGGACTGCTGTCCTGATAAAAGACACCAGATTGCTCTCATTCTGTGTGTGGGGAGAGGCTTCACCGGACACCAAACTTCCCAGCATCCTGATCTTTGACTCCCAGCTGCCAAAACTGTGTGAAAATTAGTTTGTGGTTTAAGCCACCCAGTCTGTGGTACTAATGGCAGCTAGAGAATACTAATACATCCTGTTGAGTGGCCTACCTCCTAGCTTTCCTTAGTTTTATCAGTGGACATAGAGCACTGAGTTTTGGAGTTAGGTGGACCTATATTGAAATTCCCGTTGTGCCATTTATCATGGTATTATATATTTAATAGGGTAAAATGTCAGACACTTCATAGTTCTTGAGTTTTTAAGACCCTATTATAAATTAGACATTGATCTATTACATGTGATCCCAATCTTTTCCCCCGTTTTGTTAATTTGTAATTTTGACTTTGATTATAATTTTGGGGGGGATAAGGAGAGTCAACAGACTTTTAAGGTAGTAATTTAGTAATTACTAAATTACTAGTAACTTAATTTTAGGTAGTAATTTCATGAATTTTTTCTTTAAAGCTTCTGGGTTTGCTTAGAAAGACAGATATATCCCCCTCTAAAATGACTGTTTCAAAGTTTTCTTCTATTCTTAGTCAGTTTCCTTTTTCTCTTTAACAATTAATTCTTTGATCCATCTGGAATTTACTTTACAGTAGTGAGTGAGGTAGAGACTTAACCTTTATTTTCTTTCTCAGATGGCCAGTGAATTGTCCTAATGACATTGAATAATTCTTCTTTACCCAACTGATTTGTAATAACATCTTACATATACTAAATTTTGTATGTGTATTTGGGTCTATCTCTGGACTTTTTATTCTGGTCAATTAATAATGCCTATCAAAATAATTGTAACTATTTTAGTTACAAATACTTGATGGCATATTTTAATATCTTTGCACTTTCTCTTAAAGACCATTTTAGAGTAGTTTTAGGTTGACAACAAAACTGACAAATCATATTTCCCTGTCTCCTCAGAATTTCTTTTCATATAAAAACTTCATGGCATTTTTTATTGAAACCCATAGTGTTCAGTAGTGGCTTGTTCTCTCATGATTCCTGCACGGAAGAAGGATCACACTTTTGTGCCTCCTTGAAGTTAGGTTGAGCCATGTGATCAGTCTAGCCAGTAGCCAATGGTGGTCACGTTTCCAGGACAAAACATTTAATTGCCAGAACATGACTCACTCCTTTCTTTTTCTACACCAGCCTCTGAAAATGGTGTTTTTTTCAGGTGGTGGAGCTCCAAGATTGCAGAGCCTCAAAAAGTCTAGGTCTCTGAGCACCACATGGGTGGTCTCCCACCTGCCATTCTGGAGATGTGGCATGATCAAGAAAGAAGCCTTCCTTGTGTCAGCCACAGTGATTTCAGGGTTAGTTCGTAACTGCAGTAAAGAGGCTGTTTGGATTGGTATGACCATCCCATTTACAGACTAAAGGAGAATACTGTATTTATAATGCTATGACTTTCTATTCAGTGACAGGGAATGTCTCTACAATCAGATCAATTTTATTTCACATCCCTCAAAACTTTAAAGTTTGTTTCCACATATCTGTAGTTAATTTATAATTGTTATATATTTCTAGTGCAATTATAGATGCAGTCTTCATTATGTTTTATTATATTTTTCCTCACTATAAAAATAGCTTTAGAATTATATAAAAATGCATGCCCACTTCAAAAAAATTTTTTTTGAGTAATGTAGTAAAAACAATACATAAAGTAAAAATCCCTTGAAATCTCACCACTGTACATTAACCATCTGGCAATTATCATTTCGTGCATTTCACATACATAAATACACACATATGGTACTACATTTTCTGACCTGGAATTTTTATACAGGGCAGCTACTTCTGATACAGCATTACCACTGTAACAGGCATTTAATTTATAGTTTTTATTGTTTCTAATAGTTTTCCATTTGATTCTCTTGGGTTCTCTAGGCATATAATCACATCATATGCAAAAATAACTATCACCTCCTTTCACACTTTCATACTTTTAATCTTGTTGATTCGCCCTAGCTAAGATTTCCAGAACAACAGGAAGTGACAGCATTGACAGTGGACATTCCTGTCTTATTTTGACTTTACTGGAAATGCCAAACTCATGGCTGCTATACTGATTCTCAGTTAACAGTTTATTAGTAATTAGATAGTATATGCAGAACTTGTACTTTTTGTACTTCTTTTTATACTTAAACACTAGAGAGCAGCTCAGTCTTGGATAGTTTGGAAGTCACTTTATTTAATTATATAAATATGCCTACCATATTAGTTCATGTTCATCACAAGCATAACAAAAAGACATACCAACCTCTCCTGCTGACAACTTCTCTCTCACATTTTTCCAATAAATGTCTTTATTTTCAGTGTTAGTGAAAAAAAGGAGCCACTCTGCAAAGTCTTCTTTTCTCATGAAACTCAAACCTTTAGAGAATTGAAGGAACTCCATTTCTTGGACCTCCGTCTGTAGATTCTCCATAAACCTAAATGTTAAAGTACAGAGCTGACAGAAGTGGCCAGTGGCTTTCACCTGTCACACCATCAATGGGGCTGGGCAAGCACCTCTGTGAGCTGCACAAAGCATAAATGCCATGGCAAGGACTGCAAGAACCAGAGTGTCCAGTAGCTGGGTAAGTCTAATACCTGCTTTAATCTGACTCCCTATACTGAGTTTGTCCAAATTCCACTTGGCAACCTACATTCTGACAAATTTAGACTTAAAAAATTAGTAAAATGTTGCTCTGATACAACCAGAGAAAATGAAAATGTATAAAAAACAGTATTTTTCCAATATAGCTAGGTTGTTTATAATCAGAGAAACTTAAAATTCAGTTGGGATATTGTTTTTAGAATGTTAATCATAACTGATGGTTCCTCATATTTTTCAGATACTAAATTGGATTAATATAATTAATGACTTTGCATCAAAAGCACAGATTTACCAGAAAGTATTTATAATCTTTTGGATAATAACATATGTCCATGTGACTTACAAGTCATGTTTTTTAAAATAAAAAACAAATGGTCCATGACTCCTTTTCTGTTTTGTCAGTTTACTTTGTTCATTAGATTCTACATTTAAGTGAGATCATATGGTATATGTCTTTCTCTGACTTATTTCACTTAGCATAAATGATCTCCATGTCCATCCATGTTGTCACAAAAGTTAAGATCTCTTTCCTTTTTACAACTGTACAGTGTTCCATTCTGTAAATATACCACAGCTTTGTTGTCTATTCATTGCATAGACATGTGGAACACAATGACAGCTCTTAGAAGGGAGGGGGTGGGGGGACCAAATGAAAGAAGGTAAAGGGATTAACCAAAGAATGTATATACATGACTCACAGACACAGATAACTGTGTGGTGATGGTGGGAGGGAAGGGGGGTGAAGGGGGTGGGTGGAAGGCAGATGTGGCAGGGGGATGGGGATATCTGTAATAGTGTCAACAATAAAAATAAATAAAAAGAAATATATAGCACCTGGATCAAGCTGTCATCAACAGCCTCCTGAGAAATGTACAAGCTGAAAGAATATCAGGTTTAAAATATACCTTCTTCGAACAAAAACACAGAAATGCTGATTTACTTATAACCTAAATCATGTGAAAAGCATGATTGTCTCCATGAGTTTTAACATACTGAAAATTCCTTACTCACCTTTCCACATGTTCAATGATCTGTACTCTATGTCATGTCACAATTTGGTGGGAACACACACAGGGTGAAAAGGGGTCCAGTCCAGTTCAGTGGGAGAAGAGTTGCCACTTGTCCCCCACACCTTAGAAGCATGAAGGGAGTTTAATTTTAGGCTTCTATCTGTGGTAGGTGAGAGTCTGAGTGTATTCAATACACATATTTATCAGTGTTATGTGTCCTTTAGGGTTTAAAGTTTTATCTAAAACTTGAAGCATTTCAAATTTGGACTGAACAAAATCTACTGATACACTTCATCCTTTGTTGTACTGTATACTGTGGTGACATTCAATTTTTTTCTTATTAGGACTGTTTAAAAATGCTTTACTTGCAAATAAATGTACAATGAAACAGGGAAGTAGAAAATATGGTATAACAGGAATAGACTTCCAACCCAGATGGAGGCATAGGTAGATACACTTTGCCTTCTTGAATAACCAAAAGGACAACAAATTAAAAAAATATATAACCAGAACCACCAGAAAATCAAACTGTATGGAAGTCTGACAACCAAGGAGTTAAAGAAGAAACATTCATCCAGACTGGTAGGAGGGGCGGAGACAGGCAGCCAAGAACAGAGGGGACTTGTGACAAGGCAGTGGGCTGGAGGACCTGGGTGGGCAAGGAGGCAGCTGGTGGAGTGGGAAGTCCGACATTTGTGAGCAGATAAACTAGGAGGAACAACTGGGGAGTGAGACAGACCATGCCACCCAGGTTCCAGCATGGAGAAATAAAGCCTCAAAACCTCTGACTGAAAAAACCTGTGGGGAATGAGGCAGCAAGAGAAACTCCCAGCCTCACAGGAGAGTTTTTTGGAGAGACCCACAGGGTCCTTAAATGTACACAAACCCACCCACCCCACACACCCAGGAATCAGCACCAGAAGGGCCCAGTTTGCTTGTGGGTAGTAGAGGAAGTGACTGAAAGCCAGCTGAGAGCTGAGCAAGTGACATTGTTCCCTCTCAGACCCCTCCCCCCCATACAGTGCCACAAAGCAGTAACCTGGGTTGCCCTGTCCTGGCGAATTCCTTAGGCTCTACCTCTTACAAAGTAACCCGTGTACCAATACAAAAAAATATGGCCCAAGGTAAAGAACAAGTCAACGTTCCAGAAAAAATACAACTAAGCGACAAAGAGATAGCCAACCTATCAGACAAAGAATTCAAAACTCTGGTAATCAGGATGCTCACAGACATGGTTGAGTATGCTCACAAAATAAGAGGAAAAAGTGAAGGCTATGAAAAGTGAAATACTGGAAAATGCACAGGGAATCAACAGTGAAGGGAAGGAAACCAGGACTCAAATCAACAGTTTGAAACAGAAGGAATAAATAAATATTCAACCAGAACAGAATAAAGAAACAAGAACTCAAAAAAAAAAATGAGGAGAGGCTTCAGAACCTCTGGGACAACTTTAAACATTCCAACATCTGAATCCCAGGGGAGAAGAGAAACAGGAAGAAATTGCAAATTTATTTGAAAATATAATGAAGGAGCACTTCCCTACTCTGGCAAAGCAAACTGACTTACAGAGAGTCGAGGAAGCTCAGAGAGTCCCAAAGAAGTTGGACCTAAAGAAGCAAACACCAAGCACATCACAATTACACTAGCCAAGATTAAAGAGAAGGAAAGAATCTTAAAAGCAGCAAGACAAATGAGACAGTTACCTACAAAGGAGTTCCCATACGACTATCAGCTGATTTCTCAAAAGAAACCTAGTAGGCAAGAAGAGGCTGGAAAGAAGACGTATTCTCAGTGATGAAAGGCAAGAACCTCCATCCAAGATTACTCTATCCAGCAAAGCTATAATTTAGAATGTAAGGGCAGATAAAGTACTTCCCAAATAAGGTCAAGTTAAAGGAGTCCAGCATCACCAAGCCCTTATTATAGGAAAAGTTAAATAGAGTTACCTAAGAAAAAGAAGATAAAAATATGAACAGTAAAATGATAATAAACTCACAACTTTCAACAACCAAATCTTAGAAAACAAAATAAAAAATGAACTAAGGAAACAACTAGAACAGGAACAGATTCACAGAAATAGAGATCACATGGAGGGTTATCAGTGGGGAGGGGGAGGAGGGAGAATAGGGGAAAAGGCACCTGCAATAAGAAGCGTAAATGGTAGGTACAAAATAGACAGGAGGTGGTTAAAAATAGTATGGGAAACGGAGAAACCACCAAAGAACTTATGTGTATGACCCATAGATATGAACTAAGGTGGGGGAATGATGGTGGGAGGTGGGGTATAGGGCAGAGGGAAATAAAGGGGAGAAAAAAATGGGACAATTATAATAATATAATAAAATATATTTATAAAGAAGGAACATGAATAACTGGTTCCTTCCCTTTTTCTTTAGGTTCTAAGGCTGAAATGTTATAAACTTAATTGCTGTTAAATACAGTGTCTGGTTTAAGCTACTTTCATTTTACTAATTATAATACTTTTGAAGAACAAGTATATTACATGATAATAATCTTTCTAAGTCTAATATATATCTTGTTATGACATGAAAATCTGGAATATGATACTGAACATAATATATGAATTGAATAATTTGTAATACATAAGGCCACCAGATGTACTCTGAATACATTTAAATAATTTATAAGTTAGTGGACTAACTGGAAGCCCTGGGAAACTGCTTCTTCCTGGATGGTGTTTTAGGCCCTGTGTCCTGGAGCTGTGGGTGTGTACTGTGCATATGTCATCCACCTCTGCCTTGTATGAGGCAGCTTGAGATGAGTTTGCTGGGGTATTCATTCACAGCATTAATCTTAAGTGTTACCAGTCTAGGTGGTTCTCCTTAAGAGCTGAGCATAAGATGTACTTACCAGCACTCTACCTTGGCATCTATGAAAAAACTTCATGAATTTAGAACACCCTCTATTAACAAGTAGTATTTCAGAAGCTAAAATAATCCCAGTCCTAAAAAGTACATCAGTATCAAAACTTGAGACCATTTTTCTTTCCTTTGTAACTACTTCCCTAATATATCTGATAAGTCATAGAATTATTTTCAGCTTTAACAATTTATTGAAAAAAAAAATGAGGTCAAATGTACCATACCAGAAATAAACTCAGCGATTACTTCTGGTCATTATTTCTAAGGCTAACAATTATTAGAGTTTAAAAGAATGAAAAGCAGAACAAGAAAAGGCCCTAAATAAAGTAGGAGAGAAAAAGGAAAAGGAATCAGAAAAAACAAAACAGAGGTACTGCTACAGAGGGGTAAACACCACCAATAGCTGCCTAAGTAGACTGAGCATCCCTGAACAATACATACCCTGATAAAGAACTGAATTTTCACCTTTAATTTATGTTGATTTCATAACAATAAATAAACAACAAAATCCCAGGAGACAGAACTTGAATTATACTTTAGTTTTTATTTAAATGGCTAAATGGTATTTCCGTTGGGAAATCCTATGACTGGTTGTAAAAGTAAAAACAACAAAACAAAAAAAAACAAAGCTAAAAACAACTCCCAAATCACAAATTTATCCACATGCTCCCTCATTAACTGCTTAATTTCTCTTGATGTGCTAGTATCTATTTAATGTGCCTGTCTCTGTGGAGCACCTACTCACCTACCAAGGACCTGTGGGACTATTTTAGAAACTTTGTGACCTCGTATACCTTTGAAGACAAACATGGGTATAAATAGCTCCTCTTCAATTTCTGAGCTCTATGACCCTGGAACAAGTGCCCTTAATGTCATCAAGTCTAGTCATCAAAGGGAAGACTACCTGTCCCAAGTTTTCAGGATGGGTAAAACAATACATGTGAGACACTTAAACACATGCCAGGCACATGGTAAGTACTTGACAGACAGTAGCTTGGTAAGGCACTGAGCACGTTTGCAACTATCTTTCCCTTTTCATCCTACTCAAGCCCAGACTCAGGTTTTCACTCCTTTGGCTGCTCTCTTGTTCCTTGGGCTTTTTAAAAAATGTAAATCATAATTTTCACAGTCATATACTATAGAGTCTGTACTAGTGTTGTATAGAATACTTGACTAGAGTGGTTTAGATAGTATTTTCAAGGTCATGTAGATGCAAGTGTATCTAACCTCAAACACTATGACTTACTACTTTTCAAGCATGTCTAATGTTTTTAAAATTTTTAAATTATATTTTATTGTTATGCTACTACAGTTATCTCATATTTGCCCTCTTTGCCGCTTTCCACCCAGGCCCATACTCCCTCAGGCAATCCCCACACCTCTCACTGTCCATGTCCATGGATTATGCATATATGTTCTTTGACTAATCCCTTTACCTTCTTTCAACCAATCCTCATCTCCTCTCTAACCTTTGACAGCTGCTAGTCTGTTCCATGTACCCATGCCTCTGTTTCTATTTCGCTTGTTAATTTATTTTGTTCATTATATTCTATATATAAGTGAGATCGTGTGGTACTTCTTTTTCTCTGACTGGCTTCTTTTACTTATTTTTCTCTGACTGGTATTTCTTTTTCTCCAGATCCATCCATGCTGGGACACAATGAAAGCAGTCCTGAGAGGGAAGTTCACAGCCCCTTGAGCTTTGATAGCCTTCTTTAAGTGTAACTTGAAAACCATACCATAGCTGCAGGTAGTGGTACCAACATAAACTCACTGTCTACAACTTTATTGGGCCCTCAACCCTTCTAATAGCCTCTGCCAACATGGAAAGCTCTTTTTCAGTTTACACAGTGGCTATTTCAAGCCCTCCACATCCTCTACAAATCTATACCATTGGCTTTGTTTGTCTTCGGTAGATGACTCTGCCCTAACTTCTGAGAGGAGTTAGAAATCATTATTCAGAAAATTCTCTTGTTTTCTTGCCATCACTACAGAAATGTGATAGCACTCAGAAAAAGAGGACAGCTAACTTATCTACTACTCATTGAATTCCACCTCTATTCCCGTGTTTCCTCTTCTGCAGGAAACTTATGCTTCTGGTCATTCTGATTCATTCCTGTACTGTTTCCTCTTTACATCATCATCTAACATGTGGGGAAAAACCGTCATATACTCCCAATCTGTTAGTGCCTGCTTTCTCTTCTTTTTTTGTAGTCAACCTTCTTAGAAGACTTACTATTTACTTCTTTCCTTACCCTCTGAAATCTGGCATCTACTCTCATCGACAATATCTGAGCTACACTCATATTCTTTCCTCAAATGCTTCTTACGTTCCCCAGCTCAGTGAATAGGCATCATCCCATTCATTCATTGGTTCCTCTCAGAAACAGGCATTACCTGACTTCTGTCCCACTCATGCTCTCCTATGTCCAGCTACTATCAATTCTTTCCCTGAAATAACCTCTTGGATTCCTCTAGTCATCTCTATTCCCACTCCCACCACCTCAGTCTAATCACCACTCGTGTTTCCTCTATCAGCCAGTTAGCTGCTAAATGACCTCCCTGCTTTCCTTTGATTTCCTTAGCTACCCATTCGATCTGACATCACTGTACTCTTGTGGTTCTCTGTCCTTCTCACCCTGGATTAAAAAACCTTCACAATTTTGCCTGTTTACCTTTTCACCCTCTTTTCTTGCTAATTTTCCCACTGCCATGTTTTTTTCTTGTAATACATATTATTTTATCTATTTAGTAATTGCTGAGTTCAGACAACATTGGGTTGATAATTTTTACCAATTTTGCAAATATGAATTCTTTTCCTGACTGGAAAATTGAGAAAATTAACTACATATAGAGAGTAACAGTGTATCATTACATCGATTAAACTATTCTGAAGAATGACAGCAAACAAGATATTCCTGAGAATTTTTTTCTTAGATTAAATTCATTGTGTATTAGCAGCACCACAGAATAAGCTCATTTAGTACTGAATATTCTATAAATTATCAGTCAGTGTATATCAAAGTTTAGGGTGGAAAAGTAGATGGTGAGATGGTACTTCTTCTCATGTCCTATGATGGGGGATAATTATTGCCACGGCCAAAGATTAGATAAAACATCAATATTTTGTAAAGTAAAATTTGACTTGGAGATTTAAATATAATTATTGATTCATTGGAGTGCAAAACACAATTTTTTTTTAATCCTCACCTGATCATATGTTTACTGACCCCAGAGAGAGAAAGGAGGAGCAGGGAGAGAGAGGGTGGCAGGGGGGAGGTGGGGAGAGAGAGAGAGACATTGATGTATGAGAGAAATGTCGATCAACTGCCTCCTACATGCACCCCAACTGGGGATTGAATCTGCAACCTTTTGGTGTATGGGACAATGTACTCCAACCACCCAAGCCACCCTGTGAGGGCGCGACTTTTAAATTAATTGCTTTTTCCTAAGTGAAAAGTCTACACTTAACTAAGAAATGTTTTGCCCAAGCAATTTCTACATTCTTTTGTATGAACAAAGAATTTAAATTTATTTAAGTTTCTACAATAATAATGCATGACAAGAAGTCTGGCATACTGTTTGTTAAACTTGATATAAATATCTTTTGCTCTGTGTACTATTACTGCTCTGTAACTGCACTTTTTTGGACAAGTTTAATCCCATTGCTAGCATTATTTCCAGAAGGCTTTTAAAGACTAGAGATCCTGAATACAATTCATATACATTCTTAATATTTTAATTTTTTATTGATTTTAAAAAGTAAGGGAGAGAGAAACACTGATTTGTTGTTCCACCCATTCGCACATTCATTGGTTGATTCTTGTACATCCCTGACGAGGGATTGAACTAACAGTGTTGGTGTATTGGGACAATGCTCCAGGCAACTAAGATAACTGGTCAGGACCTCAAAATTTTGTCTTAATGACGATTAAAAACTACTGAACTTTCAAATTAAAAAACTGGTTAACAAAATAAAAAAATATTGGCCATCTGTGATAAAAAAATAAAAGTTGTGTCCTGTTCTCTGTTTTAACTTAAAAACAAAAAACAAACCCAAAACCCGTTTCTTTGAATTTTAGGTAGTCGTTTCAAGGAGAAAAAGACACTGAGAAAGTTATACTTTAAATTTAGTTTTTGATTACTTTTCTTTGGGAAAGAGACTGTGGACACTCCATGTTGAAGAAGCTACCTGAGAGAGAGAGCTGAGGAAATGCAAATTGAAAGAAGCTTTCAGGAAGCTTCTGGCATCTGGGCAACAAGCTGTGAGAGGTCTTTGACAGATATCGAATTGACAGGAGCTCCGCATGCATTCTGAGTGCTGACCATGTGTTATGTTCTGTGTGCTTCAGAGATACTGTCTCATCCAGCTCTCAGGTGCACCTCAGATTTTTCTTTAAAAAACTGTATATATTGTACAAATTTTAATAGCTTCAACTGTATATACAGTCAAATAAAAACTTGCATTAACAATTGGTAGAGCTGGTGTCAACAGGATCAGTGAACCAGGCTCCTTTTTCTTGCTCAGGCTGTAGACTTGAGTGGCTTGGACTCTCCAGGAGTGAGGGTTTATTTATACAAGCAAGCAGTCCTTGGACACATAGTTATTAAACTATTAGGGTGATATACACATATTATGAAGAAACTGAGACCCCAAAAGGTTAAGTACTCGGCCTTAGGTCAGAGATCAAGTAAGGGTGCCAGGATCTGAACCCTGTCCTAGCCAGTCTGATGCTGGGAACGGGGTGGAAACTCAGGCCTTTGGCCCTTGTGACAGGATATGTATGAAGGTTCACTGGCTAGGGGTGGGATGGGATGGCAGAGTGAGAGGGCTGTTATCTTCCCATCTACAAACCCTGTCAAGCTTTGATAGTAGGTCAGCAAGCTGGGAAGCACGGCTGTGTGCTGGGCTACTAGAAGCTCCCAAGCACCGAATTGTGGGCAGACCAGCTACAGCTAATCACTTAGATTCCTGTAGTTGGAAACGCAATCAATCTCAACTCTGGTCTGGAATTTAGCAGAGAGCCTTCTACCTAATCATGGGTAGAAAGAAGGAGCCCAGAGGCTGATATGGGCAGGCTGTGCCCTTGTGCCCAGCACTGCAGTTGGAACTGAAGACTTCCAGGACCCATGTCAGTTATCTGTAGTTTCTGAAGCCTCCACCAAGCCAAGTCTGGCCTACAGCCAAGAGCTTAAAATGTCTGTAGCAGTGAGTCTGAGGGCCAAGGAAGGAAGGTGCCCAATGGGTCTGTTGTATGCTACTCTTCCCTAAACTTGGTTGGGCTATTTCTTTCACCAGGGGGACAGTCAACAACCTCCAGAATTTGAATAGCTGAGCCCAAGTCCACCTCAGATTTTTCAGTTGGGGGAAAGAATAGTAATGTGAATCAAAAGGGAAAGAATAGATTAGGAAGGAAAATATTTGCATGAATCAGAGCTTGTCTCTTTTCTGTTATTAGATTATTATAAAGTTGATTATTAGAATTTATAGTTTTATAGTTTACTTTTACATTTACTGAATTCTGTAAAGTAGGCAGGACAAGTATCACCACATAAATTTTTTAAAGACTCAGAAGGTAGGTACAGTTGACCCTTGAACAATGTGTGAGTCCATGCGGTTCAAACTTGCACTGTTTAAGGGTCACCATACTCAGGTGTTTCTTCAGTTCTTACCTCTAAAATTTCCTGACATGAATATAAGTACTCGCATTTACCTTCGAAATTCTCTATAATGAAGTTTTCTTTCTCCTCTTTTTCCAAAGAAACGTATCTGAAGGGTTGTGTTAATTTCAGGTTCTTTCACTTTTGGTTCCTACAAAAAATGTTATAATAATTTCAAGTAATTATAACCAAGAACAAAAATAGACCCTGTAGCCCAGGACAATATCCACAAAAGACTCTTGTAACAACAACAAAGGTGGAAAAGAGAGAGGTAGTCATTCATTCTGTTACTATGCATAACAATATTCTATAGTCATCTTTGCTTAAGCAGGAGAAAAAAGGAAGGCTGCAATACTCAAAATACTTAAGGTAGACCTAAGCAGTAAATGAAATTTTAGAAATGTTCATACCTTTTGATCCAGCAACTGAATTTCTGAGAAGTTACCCCTCATATATATTCACATATATATAAATATAAGATGATATAGTCACAGAATTACTAACTGTAGCATTATTTGTAATACCAAACACTGTCATATTTTTAAACATCTTTCAAAAGGGGAATAGTTACATAAATTGTTACATCCATACAACAAAGTACTATGGAGCCATTAAAAAAGAATAAGATACTCATTTAAGAAAAAACAGGAGAATGTGGAACAAATGGTATTTGTCTTTTTGTCAGACTTATTTCATTTACCATAACACCCTTCAGGTCTATCCATGTTGTTGAAAATGGGAAGACTTCATTCTTTTTTATGGCTGAATACTTAAAAATAATCACACACACACACACACACACACACACACACATATATGCTACTGCTTATATAAAAGTGGGAAAAAGATATATAAATACATTTAGTTATTTATATATATGCTTATATATGCATAAAATAGCATATATAAGCATATATAGCATATATAAGCTCTGGAAGATTACATAGAAAACTGGTAAGCACACATCGCTCAGGGAGAAGTGCTAACTAGCAGGAAAATTCTACCCTATATACATATTCTTAACATGTTGAAGTCTACATCATATGAATGGAGCACATTTACTTAAAATACTTAGAAAAAATAAGCTACTGATAATTTTCCCAATTATTTGGGAATATTTATTTGAACAAACACAACAGAGAAGCTAATATAATATCTGGAAATGTTTACTTTGTCTGCACATACCTGACATTCTGTTTCATTAGTTATAGTCTTCAAGTCATCCTGTTTACTTATGATTTTCTGCAACTAAAAGATGGCAAACATGATTTAGATGTGTGCCTACTGGATTTTTCAAAACAACCTAAAAAAAAGGATGCTATGTCTTTGCTATAAAATATATAATAGATATTTAAAAAATATTAACTGAAATTCTTATACTGTAACTCCTAATGTTATGTTTTTTTCCTCAGGTCATGTAAGAATCAGAGGAGAAATAGATATGCAAGTAGTATTAACATTATTATTATTACAATCTGGATCACTTTTTTCTCATAAAGAAAGCCAGCTTGCTTAATACAGGGCACAAGTAGGTTTACAGTTGTGACACAGATACATAATACAATAATTGATAAATAATAATACAAGAATAAACAAACTCTGTGTTTTGCAGACTCACAACTGTAAACCCATCTTTGTCCCCCTCAGTATATATATTCTAAGGGTATCATTCTATAGAAACTCATGAGTACTCTCATTCTTCAAGAGAAATTTTATTCATAATTTTCTCTATTACTGAGGCTTTATGGCTACATTTTCAAGTGAATTATTCTCAAAAAGCTACTTATATCATATAAATGTTGTTCCTCTTCCCTTTATGCATTTATAAAGCATAAAAGTAATTTAAAGACTTACATTTCTACCAATTATAAATTGGTAATAGAACACTGAGACTGAGTACGTTAAAAAACCTACCTTTTGGAGTCATTTGTACCAATCCTCGGGTGGAAAGCAAATTAAAAGAAAATAAGTTTTAAAAAAATTAAATGCAGACAAAATCTCAAACTATAAATTTAAATCAATTAGGAAATAAACCTTCACCCATTTTTTTCTGGGTTATTTCTTTGTTAAATGTTTAAAAATTGCTGTGGCTAAATTCCAAAATAATTACCTCAAACTTAGCTGCTTCTACTATGTCTATTTAGAAAAGTATCTCTATTTCTCTAAATCCTTCAAAGTTTTCAATATAACCCTTCTTACTTTAGGGGAAAAAGTTGAAAAGCTTTCTATTTGTTTTATCTGTTATTTTTTAAGGTGAAAATCAAATTGTATAATGCCAAGTTCAGTATCAAACATTTCTCACTAATGGTGCTATATCTTGTTCATTCCTCATATTGATAATATGAATTTTTTAAAACTAAAGTATAACTGACTTATAATATTGTTTGTATTAGTTTCAGGTGTACAAGACTGTGACTCAATATTTATACATATTGCAAAGTGATCACCATGATAAGTCTAGATACCTTCTGTCACCACAGAGCGTTATTAGAGCATTACTGACTACATTCTCTATGCTGTTTGTTGCTTACTCGTAACTTACTTATTTTATAACAGGAAGTTTGTATTCCTTGATTCCCTTTATATATTTTGTCCATCTTTCCACTCTTGTTCTTCTGGCAACCACGTTTGTTCTCTATATCGATGAGTTGGCTCTGTTTTGTTTGCTCATTTGTTTTATATTTTAGATTCTATTTATAAGTGAAATCATATGGTATTTGTCTTTCTGTCAGACTTATTTCATTTAGCATAATACCTTTCAGGTCTATCCATGTTGTTGAAAACGGGAAGACTTCATTCTTTTTTATGGCTGAATACTTAAAAATAATCATATATATATGCCATATCTTTTTTAAAATTATTTTTTAATGTATTTTTAGAGAAAGGGGAAGGGAGAAAGAAAGAGATGGAGAGAAGCATTGATGTGCAAGAGAAAGAATTGACTGGGTTGCTTCTCACACGTCCCCAACCAGGGAACTAGCCTGCAACCGAGGCATATGGCCTGACTAGGAATCGAACCAGTGACCTTTTGGTTTGGAGGATAATGCTCAACCCACTGAGTCAGGGCTCATATTTTTTTGAAACAATCGTCTATTGATGGACACTTAGGTTGCTTCCATATCTCAACTACTATAAATAATGCTGCAGTGGCGGGAGAGGGGTGGGGAGAAAATACGACTGTAATTGAACAACAATAAAATGATTTAAAAAATAATGCTGCAGTGAACGCAGGGATGATGCATATGTCTTTTTGAATTAGTGTTTTGGATTTCTTTAGGTAAGTACCCAAAAGTTGCCAGGTCATAACATATTTTTTATTCTATTTTTAATTTTTGGAAGTATCTCCATACTGTTTTCCAAAATGGCTGCACCAATTTACAATCCCACCCACAGTTCACAAGGGTTCAATTTATCATGTGTATAACAATTAAAGAAATAAAATTAATAGATGTTTATCCATAAAATGATTATAAATTTTTATAGAAAAATCAAAACTTATTTTTCTTTTATTAAATGACATTTAACATAGTAGTTATAATCTTTACATGGTCATTGTCAAATAGTTATAAATAAATAAAACAGATAGCATATAGGATTAGTCCACTGAAATAAGAATTTCTTAGGAGGCTTATTATAACACTGGCTTATTTTAACATGATGTGGAATTTGGAAAAGGGCCTTCCCTGAATCTATCCATTGGGTTTAGTGCCAGATAAAGCTTGTCATGTCAGAGTCTTCCCTAAAACATTTCAGTTTGGACTCAGGGAGTTGGTTATAGCAGGTTCTAGTGTACTATGAAGATTATAGTACTGTATAGTTAGTTCTGCAGTAACAGATCCATCTCAAAGATCATAAACACTTTGTGACCAGCTATGCATTCATGTCAGAAGGTCTTTCTGGTCTACTAAGATGCTTTCTAAAGTAGCTGTATATGATGTGGTTAGCAACATACTAGGTACCCATTTTGTGACCAAAGTGCTGTTTTAAGTGTTGGGAATACAGTGGTTAAGGACAGACAACGTCCTTGCTCTCACTGCACTTATATATTCTAATGGGCTACAGATTACAAACAAGTGAGCAAATAAGAAATTTTAGATAGTATTAAGCACCATAACTACAATAAAATAAAAGAAAGCAAGAGTAACAGGATTCAGGACTGCTGGGGAGACGTTGCTGTTAAGACAGACTTATTTTGGCCCTGGGTGGTGTGGCTCAGTGGGTTAAGCATTGTCCCACAAATAGGAAGGTCACCTGTTTGAATCCTGGTCGGGGCACATGCCTGCGCTGTGGGCCAGGTGCCCAGCGGGAGGTGTGCAAGAAGCAACCAGTTGTTGTTTCTCTTCCACATTCATGTTTCTCTCCCTTTTTTACTCCCTTCCCCTCTCTCTAAAAACAAACAAACAAACAAACAAACAAACAAACAAAACCCCAGGCTTATTCTGGGTAGTTCTCTTTGTGGACATGACATCTGGGTGAGATCTGAATGACTGAAAGCTACCAAAGGCATGGGAAAAGGATTATTTTAGGTAGAGAGGAAAGCTAAATTTCTGGTAGAAACAGGGGTGCTCTGTTAGACAAACAGCAAGAAGGTAAACTGGTTAGACACAAGTGGTAAAAGAAGCAGGAGGACACATTCACCAAATACAAATTCCGAATGTCTAAAAAAGTACTGCCTAAGTTTACATGGGTCCATGTTTTCAATTTTAGGCTGAAAATGGAGAAAAGTATGTAGGGTTGGCTTAACTTATTTTTGTTTGCAGATCGTGAAGTTTAAATTCTGACACAAAACAGTACTTCAAAATCAAGAAGAAAAAATTCTACTGGAAGGCTTTGTATTTGTTTAATAATATCTCCAGGAGGTGTATTCTGCACAGCAGAATTTAACACTGCTGTATGAAAAGCACAGTCCTTACCACCAGTATGGAACAATGTGAAATAAAGGACCACCAAGAAGAAATCTGCACTAGTAAACAGACTTTTCATCAGTCTATTGTTTAAAGAAATTATACTAAAGCTCTGGTATTTATGCCAAAGAAGCAGGTGTGCCACATATAAAGGTAAATATAAATCCATCAACCCTTACAGGCTCTGATCGCTGCTGGTGTTGTTTATTATTATCTGGCAGGGAACAGCACATATAGATAGTTGCTAATTCACTTATTCTTGTGGTAAAGAAGTAAGCAATACACTTACCAACACAGTTTCTAGATCTGGATATGAATAAAACACAATGTACCACAAAACACCAAAGTAACAAACTCAAGCAATTTAGATTTTAGGACAGTTTCATAGGACTTTATTTTAATATATTTTATCATGACTTTTGTGTTTGGTATTCAAATCACTTTGTTCTATGTTTTCAGTATTAAAGTAATTCTTACTACTTTTCTAGCAATTATGGCGGGAAGAGCAATGAATAAAATTTACTGGAGAAACATTCAGATAAGCCCTTGCACCCCCCCCACACCACTGCCTTTTAAATATGTTTTTTTCTGATCTCCAATAAAATTTCAAATACAACACGCTACATACTCATGTTTCCTAATATAAGACCATGAATGTGAAATAATTATTTAAATAACTAATGTGAACATTGTTTTTTCTCCTCTATGCTGCTATTTTAAATTGACAGGGTCCATGGGTTATCATTTTTAGTGCTGTTTCTAAGATCAGCACAGAGAACCTTTGTTTTTTTTTTTAAGATTTTATTTATTTATTTTTAGAGAGAGGGGAAGGGAGGGAGAAAGAGGAGAGAAACACCAATGTGACAGAAACATCCATCAGTTATCTCTCATGTGTGTCCTGTTGGGGCACTGAACCTGCAACCTAGGCATGTGCCCTGATTGGGAATTGATCTGATGACCCTTTGCTTTGCAGGATGATACCCAACCAATTGAACCACACAGGGCAGCACAGAGAACCTCTTACAGGCTTAGATGGTTGACCTTTAGAACCTTAAACTTAAAAAAAAAATCATTGATGTATCCTAACATATTCTTCTTTTTGCTTTCTTGATTCATGGGGTTTGATCATCCAAGAATTTTTCAGATATTTAAGGAAAAAAAATCACAGATTTCATAATGCATTCCATAAACACAGCACTTTAAACTATTCTGTTAAAAAAAGTATCTGAGAAATTTTTAAAGTAGGTGTGCCTGACAGTTTTAGGAGCAGAGGCTGTGGAACGCAGGAGGAAGCTCTGTGTCCACCACAATAGACCTCTTGCCTTTTTCAGTTTCACATTTGGT